TAGTAAGGTGGTAGGTGTCTTATATTCTGTGTGTTTATATGTTTGTATTAGTAAGGTGGTAGGATCTTATATTCTGTGTGTTTATATGTTTGTATTAGTAAGGTGGTAGATGTCTTATATTCTGTGTGTTTATATGTTTGTATTAGTAAGGTAGAAGATGTCTTATATTCTGTGTGTTTATATGTTTGTATTAGTAAGGTGGTAGGTGTCTTCTATTCTGTGTGTTTATATGTTTGTGTATAGTAAGGTGCTAGGTGCCTTGTATTCTGTGTGTTTATATGTTTTTGTATAGTAAGGTGGTAGGTGTCTTATATTCTGTGTTTTTATGTTTGTGTTTACTGATAGAATATGTGTTCATAGCTACATACATCTGTGGACTATATCTACATACCCATGTTTAAGACTAGCCAGTGGTTGGATACATGAGTTCGAGAAGAGGTGTGTGTAACATCAAGTGACCGCGTAGTGCCCGGGCGTGGCTTCGTATGCTCTACTGCGTGAGCCGTGTGCGTTAGGGTTCAGGATTTAGGTACTTGTTGAAGTGCGTGCGTCCCCTGTGATTTGTAGGGTGCCTATGTGTGTCTTGCAAAGGAGGTGGTCTCCTCTACACACACTGTACTGGATGTGTGTTGGGCTGTTTGTGGGCGGTGCGTGGGACCGCACCCTCAACCTCAATCACTCGCACGCCTGATTTGTCTGGCGCTCAAGCTATTTCCTTCTTTTCCTGCAAGCACATTCCATTCTTTACCTACAAGGCTATTACATCCTTTCCCTACAAGCGCATTCACAATCAATGTCTATACTTGAACGTACGCATCTGCCGTACGGCTTGACTTGTCCTCCCATTGCGCACCTCAATATGGTATCTTTCTGCCTGTCTGGTCCGGTGTGTGTCTCAACTCTACCCATCCCCACACTTCCCCACAGCCCACTCTGAGTCAGCTGTGGTCATCCGACCCAAGATTACACGCCGTTGCCTTGGAAACGCTCACAGCCACCGTCACGGCCGACCCAGACACTCAGGGCGTACCACCAGGCCTGTAAGTTAGAATGCATGCTTGACTTTCTTGCTTATGTGCTTGCTTGTGCGCTTGGGCTGTGACTTTGATCTCTTTTAGGGTTTTAGGGTTTTCTTGATCTCTGCCTTTTTTTATTTGAAGAATTAGGTTGCAGCCAGATCAGTGTACTCAAAGGTCCAATATTCCTGACTCATGCTGTACTTGTCAATTGCAAAGGTTGACCTTTCAAACGTTTATTCACGGATTTGAGACGGATTGACCGATTGTATTACTTTCTGTACGCACGAGCCGTCTCCTTGGTTTATGATATTCGCACACAATTCATCAGCCCTATCGTACGCGTTTGGTTTTGCCTCAGGCCACGAGTACAGTACAGCTCCCTTCACACTCCCACCCTCGCCCACAGAGCCTCAAAAACGTACACCTACATTTGTGTATCCGTTAATTGAACTTTAGACTGTATAGCCAATTGTGACACTTGATGTAGTTGCTAGTCGCATAGCTCGTCTGTGTATCTATCATTAGTACGGGCCTGTTCAATGTAGACTGGTTTTGGCTACCTGCCCTGTGTACTGGGCCACTCCATTCATGTCTCCGCCAATATGTACAGAACATCATACCCACAATATTACATATACATTAATACTATTCCATACTCTCACTATAACACATCCATTCATACACGCTCCCGCCTCTGCGGAAAGAGACCCATGCACCCATGAATGATATCACAAATATCTACACAGCTACATACTCATACTTTCGTACTTCAGATCAGTACACCCTGGGTTTAGGGTTTTATACAGTATACCCTATGTATGTGCTCTCACTGACTCTGCAGAGAGGAAGCCAAGGTCTGCAGTGACGTGCTGCTCAAGTATGCGAGTATTCGGCTGTGCGATAAGATCACAACGGCCATATTAAAAACCTTGGTTTTTCTCAAGGCGTTGATTGGCGCGTTCATTGCGGATGGGCACCGACTGGAAGCGTATGAAGCTTCGCTTATCTTCCCCATGCTTGTGCTAAAGGTATATGCTTGTATGCATGCGTACATGTAATGGTGGATGAATATTTACAGCATATACTTAAGCAGAACAATTCACTTTGTGTTCTTGTTTTTTGTTTGACTACAACCAGTATGGATCAGACGACACCACCATATATCTACTACTGATATCTCAAACACAATCATATCTACTATTATCATCTTCCTACTTGAACAGATTGGTGAAAAGGAGATGGTGCAGCGAGAGGCTCGGTCGGTGATTCGGTCGTTTTGTAATGTGCATCCGTCAATGAACATCTTCACATATCTGATGGACGGCATTAAGTCCAAGAATGCAAAGGTGAGCGTATACGTGCATGTCGTATGTGGGCGTGGGTGAGTGTAGGTGGGAGGGAGGGTGTCTGTGTCTTGTCTGTGTATGTATATTTGTCTGTGTCTGTGTCTGTGTATGTATATTTTTCTGTGTCTGTGTCTGTGTGTCTGTGTCTGTGTCTGTCTGTGTATATGTGTATGTGTCTGTGTCTGTGTGAAAATCTTCACATAACTAATGTATAGCGTTAAGTCCAAAAATGCAAAAGTGAGCGTGGACTGCATGTTGTATACGTGCATGTCGTATGTGTGCGTAGTAGCGACCATACCCACACAGGTAAATATAACATATATATATATATTGTGTGTGTGTGTGTGTGTGTGCACTATAAATTTAGGGCTGCTGATGGATGTAGCATCTATATATGTGTACGAATACCCCAAGACCGATGCGGTATTTAATTTTTTATCCAAGCACTCTGCGTACAGACAAGTACTCCACTCGTCGTTCAGGACATTCTACACCCTCCCAACCCAAACCAGGTGCATCCTCCGCACACTCACTCACTCGTCATCTGTACATACACCCAGGTGCGAGCGGCGTCCATTGAAGAGATCGGGTACCTCATAAAGCGCTACACCATCTCTGTATGCCAGCCGTCCCCGCAAGTGGCCCTGCACACCATTGCCCAGACACTTGACGATAAGGACAAGTCCGTGCGAGACCAGTCAATGGCCGTCATTGTGCTGGTGTACTCCAGCGTGGGCGAAGAGAGGCTGTGGCGCTACCTGGGTCAACTATCCAGCAGGTGCGTCTGTGGCCAATTTTTTTGGGGGGTTTAGGTGTATGTGCTTGTGGCCCATTTTTGAGGGGATGCTAGTATGCGTGTCTGTGGCGCGTTCTTTTAGGGTTGATGTGTATGTGACTGTGCAGGCTATGACTATTATTTTTTTGACAGGTCATCTGGTACTCTACCGTATTCAGAACCATAGCATATGTATCATCATCACTCTCTCATTACACACAGAATGCGTACAATTCAATCTTCTCAACACACTCGTGTACCTATGCACCATCATCCTCTCTCATTGCACACAGAAGTGTGTTCATATGTATCATCATCACTCTCTCATTACACACAGAATGCGTACAATCCAAACTTCTCAACACCCCTCGCTGTGTGGCTTGTGTGTTCATATGCATCATCATCACTCTCTCATTCACACAGAATGCGTACAATCCAATCTTCTCAACACCCCTCGCTGTGTGGCTTGTGTGTTCATATGCATCATCATCACTCTCTCATTCACACAGAATGCGTACAATCCAAA